CTGCGGTCAGGAAGACGATGTGAGACCACACTACATAGAGGAAGGGAGGAATGTTAACCATCATGGAATTATGATTTCCTTTGGGACATATTCCTAAATCCAAATGGCTTGATGGAAAATGATTCAACTGTTCAGAGAGAGACAACAAGAGGCTAATATTCAGGAATTGGGAGCTGACCACAGACCCAGATAAAACACAACTGAACCCTAGGAGAGTGGTCTCCCCTCCCATAGACTCATACACAGCCATGTCCCCCAGGCCACACAATTAAAAACACACATCAAGAAGAGAACACTCCTTGCCTTCAAGATCTCAGTGCCCAGTCATTTCCTTCAGATGTCCAGTGATTTTTTTTTTTTTTTTTTTTGAGCAAAGGATTAGTTCTATCTGGCTTTCCTGATCACATTTAGAATGTTACTAATTTTTTCAAGAAATCCAACTCCCTCCAAGTGAGTCTTCTTAAAGGAGGAGACTCAGAAGCAATCTGCCCAAGAAAGGATGGATCCCAGCTGTGCCTTGGAGGGATATCCAGCCAGTTACACGGCACCAAGTACGGGCATTCAGCTCAGGCCTGCCAGAGGCACCTTGTCTGGAGGAGCACTTAGTCCCCAGCCTGTACTCAACCAACCTCTCAGTGGGTGACTGAGTAATGTCTGGTAGAGGCACTTCCCTTCACTGGAGAAAACCAGAAGCCAGAGCATCAAACCCACCAGGCATGTGTCCCCTGCTACAGCCCCAGCGGAGGCCCCAGCCTTCTGAGAGGAACAGGATTCCAGGGGAGGAGTCAGGGAACAGCTCTGCTGGGAGCTCTCTGCCTAGCAAGGAGGGAGGATGCCAAGTGGGGGGAAATTTCTCCTGGTTTGCTTGCACTTTGGGATTAGGAGAAATTACATGTGTATTCTCTAAATGGAGAAAGTTATAGCCAGTTTGGGGAATATTTTCACTCAGAACAGATATCTCTATGCTATGAAGTGTAGAAAAAAAGCTCAGGGACATCACTGAAGGTAGGTAAGGCAAGAGTAATCACGTCCCTCCATCGGACACACTCTCAGAAGGCACACCTCCTTCAGCTGGGCTGCCAGAAAATGCACTCATCATGTGGCAGAGGAAAGAGAAAATCAAACCAGTGAGAGCCTCCCTTCATCTCACATTGTAAATGTGGTGATACTAACATTCTCTCCTTTAAGAACTAGTTATTTGGAATTTAGCAATATGGGTAACCTATTGGATGATAGAGGACCAAAGTCCTCCAGAATCATTTAGGTGTCAAATTTTAAGCTGAAACTAAAACTAGGCATCGGCTTTGGCCATATTCAATCAGTTTTGAACCCTTTACCCTCCAAATACTTCCCTTCCTGTCTTTGATTGTGTGTTGCCCTCAGTTAGGAACAAGAAGAGGGGCCTGCAGGAAATACCCTGTCACCCACGACTGAAGGCCTCAAGAAAGAAGAAAAAGTGGAGGTGCAGAACACAGAGAGCTGAATGTCTGGCATCCCAGTTCATGCCTGGGGCCATATACCCCTGTCTGATCAACCCCAAATGGATGGTTATAGTGGATTCAATATTTTAAAGTTAAATTTAGTCAAATGCTGTTCTGTTGGAATTGCAAGCTATAGCATATTTCTTTAAGTAGCCCCTGAAGAAAGCCCACCAGGGTTTTTTTTTTAATGGTCTCATTTGGTATAATGATGTGAAGGCTTACTAAAGACAAACCAAAGGGAGATGGTACCTTTAGAAAGCAAGTTAGGAAGCGCTCCTGAGGAGAAAGGACCTACCAGAAGGAAATCCGAGTGGAGATACAAAATAAGACCTGCACCTTCAGTCTGTGTGCTCACACCTGTCAGCTCTGATTATGGAAACAGAGACAGATTAAACTCTGAATTTAGAGGGTTGGACGTGACCTCTGCTTAAGAGAATTAAATGCAGTCTCTTGCTAGCACAGAGGCGGCTAGAGCAAAACAACAGTGGAGGTTACCATGGGGAGACTGGAGAGTTAATGCATACTTTCGCTGTGTGAAGCCCTAGAAGCTAGGGTAGATAATTAGCAGCTGAGAGCTTTAAATAAGGCCTGGGGCAGGACTAAGATAGAAAACAATTACAGGCTTTTCAAAACACAGAAAGAATTGAATTTTAATTCTAAAATAGGATTGATAATGTTGAATTTAGGGAAAATGGTCAATACCTAGACACATCTATTCATATTCCTTTAAAATGTACTGTAATTTGGATGTCATTTTGTTTGAGTAGGATTTTGAGATCAACAAAAAATGTGCTATAATTTTAAATGAACATTATACTCATCTAGAAGAGAATGAAGGATGGTAGTGTATATTTTCAACAATAATACCTAAGGAAAGATTCTCTGTGAAACCATGCATCTCTCATGGGCATCCACTAGTATTTATTTGTTCACTGGTTCATTCTTCAAATAGTCATTGGGCACATCCTACGAGCTGGACCTTGACAACTATAATTTAGAAGTGGACAGAACCTGGCACCTGCTTTCAAGGACACGTGCCTAACAGGAGTGAGAAACTGAGAAAGTATGTGGCCCAACACAAGGGAAAATTTCTCTAATGAAAACCTCTACAGGATGCAGTGGGATCACCTCAGCGCACAGGATGGCTAGAGTCTCGGAACAGGAATAGCGATGGTGACCCCTGAGTTCAGTGTTAGAGTTCCCTGGAGGCCAAGGGCAAAGAATAACATTCCAGGGAGGGATACACAGCACAGAGCTCTTAAAAAGCATGGCATGGGGAAAAAGCTACAAGTAGTTTAGTATGGTTAATGTGCAGAGGGCTTGTAGGAGGTTGGTTGGAGGGTGGCTAGGGAGAAGTGAGGCTAGGGGGGCAGGCCTGGGTCAGACCCACAAGAGGCTAAACTAGAATAAGAAGGGGCAAGGGAGGGAGACTGAAGGATTTTTTAAGTGGGGGAGGGACTATTGGCAGGAGGCCAAAGGTAGTGGCCTCAGGAAATGAGATGCCTGACCTAAGGCAGCACAGGTCCAGCAGAGCTGAGAAATATTTGCAAATTAGGATCAATATAATTTGGGAGACCCATGGGGTGTATTGGGTGAAGGACAAGAAGAAGCCAAAGATGATGACCAAATTTCTGTAAGGACAACTCTGTGACTGACAGGTGGCAAAGAGAACTGAGTCAGGGCAGGCAGAGATGGGAGTGGGTCTGTGGAAAGCTATACTTTCAGTATTAGATGTGCTGAATTTGAGGTTCTGTACATTCAGGTGGATGGGTGGAAATACCAGGATTCCTGCCATGGACTCAGCATCTGCTTTACCCCAAGCACACACTGACCATCTCCAATCCTCACACCACCCTAATCTCACTGTAAGCAAACAAGCTCCTAGATGATAAGCAACCTGCCCAAGGGCGCAAACTAAGTGAGGGTGGGGCTGGTATAGGAAATCAGGTCTTAGCTTCCAAGGCCCCTTCCACCTAGTTCTTATCAGCCAAGTCTGCAGTTACAACCAGGGGGGGAGCTTTCAGCAAAGTCCATCCCAGGTCCCACTCTGAGAGGCTACGATTCTGATGCGGGAGCACAGGAGTGGTCTGGGGTGGAGAGGGAGATATGAGGTCCTTAGTGTAAGTGGAGTCATGGAAGTAAGGGATGTGGTTGAAATTGGGCAGGGAGGAAATCCAGAGGGAGCAGGAGCCATGACAGGTCTCAAGAGGAGGAGGAGGGGTGGTCAAGAGAGTCAAATAGACCCTACACTGAAACAGCATGCACAGTCTGTGTAAGCGGTCTGAGTGGCCCCTGTGGGAATAGCTTCACAAGGGGGTAAGGGGGGAAGCCAATACCCAAGCCTCCTCAGGAAGGGAAGAGAAGGTAAGCAAGGGGAGACACCAGCCTATGAGACTGCCCACATACAGCGTGGCTGTGAAGGGAGGGAGGATGCCAGATCACACTGCTGAACCAAGGGAGCTCGATGGATTTAGGACTGGGGGTGTGTGTGCATGCATGTGTGCATGTGCGTAAACAGTGGAGGCAAACTTGGGTTTTGGCTGGGTGAAGGAATCAGGAGAGGAGCTAGGGAGATAGGAGAGAATCCTGGATAACTGATGGAGCAAGAATTGGGTAGTGGCAACAGGCTCTGGAGCCTGGTGGGCAGGTCAGCCTTGGATGAGAGAAGGTACTTTGATATCAGGGGGGAAGACAGAGGTTTCTCCAAGCCTAGAGGTGGGGGAAAAGAAGTGGAGGAGAGAATGTCTGATGGTTTCTGTTTATGAAGTGCAAGATGATGCCATCAGGTGAATGAAGGCTGGCACCCAAGACAACTTACAAACTCCAAGTGAAGTTGGAGGGTGTTTCCAGGATCCTTTCCCTAACCCTTGCTCAAAATCCACCTTCACCTCCAAGGTTATGGCTCTGACTCTAGCTGTGATGCCCCTCGTCAGCCCCATGGACTTCAGTTTTTGTCTACTTTCTAGGCCTCAGCTTCTTCTTATTGACTTTGTTTTAATCTACCTTTCCAGCTTTTAGCAATCCTACTTCCTCAGATGAAAAGGTATTCACCCCACTGTAGCCGCTGGAAACTGCCACCCACCCACCCACCCTTGCTCACCTGGGCACAGACAAGCCAGGACCAATACCACATTCTCACTCCCCAGCAAGGGGAGAAGCAGACAATTGACTGGTCCCAACTGCAACTTAATCTAACCTTTGCTTCATTAGAAGGCCTTGAACCTTTACAAATAAAAGGAGAATAATTCCTTCAAGTTCATGACAGGATTGAGTGTTTTTCTGAAGAGTCCGTAAAATAATGTTGCGTTTGAGATTAGAACCAGATAGACAAATAACCAGCAAGTAAGAGGTGTGATGTTGAAGGAATAATAATCACAGAACTACATTTTAAGCAGGAGGTCCTCCACCTCTGCTTTTCTCCCCAAGTATTTAGACATCATGAATCCCAACTCAGAAACAGATTAAAGGTGCAAAGATATAAATAAAGTTCAGGGAGTATAAACAGTTGGGTCTACTTACACTTTTGGGTCCTCCTGAATTGGGGGTGATTTTATATGAGAGCAAGAGAGAGCATACTTGTTTTGGCTGATCTTAATAAGTGCACTCCGAGGGCAAAATTCCTGTAACAATACCAAAAGAGTTCATGCAACTTAAATCAGAAATGTCTACAATTTAGATGTAATTTTATTTCAGCTTGATCCATTACAATAGCTGCTAGCCATTATCCTATTCAGGATGACACTTAAGAGGGCAGTCAAATGGCAGAGTCTGGTTTGATAATTATATGCTAAGTAAAAGTCATCGACGAGTCCTCCCGGTCGTTTCTCCATATCCTGGATCACGTGCAAGGCCATCCAGTACATGCACATGTCTGCCCATGCACATGCGCATGTATACCCACACATCCCTCCCCAGAGCTACCTTCCTATTTACCTTTACTTCAGCCATGGCCATCTCTTTCCTAGACTCAGAAACTATAACCACCACCCCTTGCCAGATGTGCCACCTTCAGCCCCGTGATCTCTACCAGAACTGTCTTCAGTGTCTCGCCCCTGACCACGCTGCTCTAGTCTACAGGGCCTCACTGCCCTGGGGTAAATTCCAAGGTCCCTCCTGGGCTTTGAGGCTCTTTCTCAGGGATCCTAGGACAACTGCTTCATCTCTCCCCACACGCTGGGGCGTGCCCAGGGACATCTCTTCAAATGTCCCTTAATTTGCTTTCTCCTCTTTTGCCTAGTAGATATCCCCAGAGTGGTGCCTCATGTCAGAAAAGCTTCCCGACCACTGCCCTCTAGACTGCTTTTTACTGTCATCCAAACAGCTCCACGAAAGTCTATTTTGTCTTAAAGTTTTTTTTTTTTTTTTTTCTTCTGGGTTGATAAGAAGGTACCCCTTTCTCCTTGTTCTGTCAGATTGGAAACTGCTTCTGGGGCCATTGACTCTGATGGTCTTTACTCTTTGCCTTTAACTCTAAAATTCATTTACCATGACCCCTCTCCTGATGGATACACCTCATGCTATAGGCAAGAACTGACTGGATATTTTTATTCTGTATACTAGGCAGTTGGGCACAGACATTCAGAGAGTAGGCCATGGAGCCAGACTGGCTGGGTTCAAATGCCCACTGTCCCACTTACCCTGTGTGTGACTTAACCTCTCTGCTTCGGTTTCTTTATCTGAAAACGGAAATAAGAATGGTACCTGCTCGCAGTGTTTTGAGCATTCAATTGTTCATTACATATAAAGTACCTGATTAGGACCTGTGGCACATAAGTGCTTCATAAAGTTAGCCTCTAGTATTTTACTTCTTGCTTTTTGCTTCCTAGTCTATTTTCCAGGCATATTAAATGGCCCATCAAGACAATGTCATTTCCATTAGAAATGTCATTCATTTAAGTAATTTAAAAAGCAATTTTGAGAATCTCCCCTTCATCAGAGGCCTGTGCGGGGGGGCTACAAAGATGAATAGGCCACAGTCCCCGCCTTTAAGGAACTGGGAGTTGGTGAGGAAGCCAGTGTGGGAAGGGGGAAGTATAGTGTGCAGAGGAATCCTGAGGGCCTCAGCAGGATGTGACAGTTGGGCAGTCTTTCCGGTGACAGGAGTTTCTGCAGAGAGAGGATGGGAGGATGGTCCAGAAAGAGGGAAAGACTAGGGGCTTGGAGAAGCCCACTGTAGTCAGGAAGCAGTGAGCCTTCCATGGGGCTGGGGCCATGCTGGGTTCAGGCTGGGTTTTTCCTTGAGGTTGATGAGAAGCGTGTGTGTGTGTGTGTGTGTGTGTGTGTGTGTGTCCGGGGACATCAGGCAGACAAGTGACATCAGCAGATATGTAAACTGATAAAGAGGCTTTCTAAAGCGTTTAGGGAAATTCATAGGGAGGCCAGGGAGGGGAACAGAGCAGGCTGAGAAGAGGCAGGCAAGGAAGAGAGAGAGAAAGGTGCTGTAAGAAACTGGGGAGGACAGTAAAGAACTGGAGTGAGTCTCCCCAGTTGTCAAATGTGGAAGGAGAGCCAAAAAGGCCATTCGATGAAGGAGTTAGGAAGCCGTGGCAACCTCAGTGAGGGTAGATTTTGCGTTGCAGAGTGGGCAGAATCCGAACTGTAAGGAGTAGGAACAGGGGCAGCTAGGCAAGTCATTCCTTCAGGACATCTGGCAGCGCCAGGAAAGAGCGAGGCATTGCCCAGAAGGAGGTGGGAAGCCACTTTCTACCTAGTGAGAAAGCCCTTTCTTCAATGAAAGTACTTACTCTCCGGTTGTTGCATTTCAAAACTGTGTAGAATTTATCGTCGGCCACATCCTGATTCGGAAGTGCTATGACAATGGCAGGGACATAGAAGTCAAATCCGTTGGGTATCACAATTTTGGCAAAGACATAATCTCCAACCTGTAGATGAGAACGTACATCATAGCAAATATTTTGCTTGTTGATCTTATAAGCAATGTCAACATAAGCCTGTTTTAAAATACTCCAAGGTGATTAGCAAGTACTGATGCTATAATTCAAATACATATATTTTCTCAGCTAAGAAAGAGTCAATAGTTTGAAAATTCCTCAGGCTCACTGGGCCACCCCTGGAATTCTGTAATCAGTCTAGGGGAGCCCCCAGTTTTCACGGGACTTCTTCACCTGACAAGGATCCCAGGCTGGGGGGCAGCCAGCAAACTGGCAAGAGTTCTGGAAACCATATCCTATAAAGACTGGTTGAAGGAACCTATTTCACAAGGACTGCCACCCAGACAATGTAAAGCAGCAGGTTTGTTTAATGTTCCAAAGCATACACCTGGAGTCCATAGGCAAAAGTTACAAAGAGACAGCTTCTAGCAGAAAGAAAATCTTGTGAAGCATGCGGAGGTTGCTGGGCATGTGTCAGATGGACAGGACCAACTGTCAGGGGCAAAGTGGACCGGTGGGCGCTCTGGGTCTGGCCAGGGAGGTGCCGACAGACACTGGGCATGGAATCCTAGGAGTGCTCATCCGGTGCTTTGCCTCCTGGCTCCCGCTGTCCAAGACAGCAGTGCTGGAGCTCTGGGAGCTTTCTGCCTCTCCCTCTGCTGGCCTGGGGGCTGGGAAGGATGGGCCCCATGCAGCCCAGCTTTCAAGGATGTATATGCAGATGAGAACACGGCAGCCCAGCCAACCTGTGGAATTCGTGTTCAGGTGTAACTGCATTATGGCATCAAGGTCGGGCAATAACTAACTATAACGTCAAGGAAAGCTCTACCTCTGCCCTTGATATTTACATCGGTTTTAATATCATCTTTTGCAGTTAAAGTTTCCAGGGTGTTAGCAGTTACAGCAGCTCTCTTCCCCCGCCATCTGCTGTCTGTAAAGCAACAAGGGCCGCAGGGGCCAATGTAAGCAAGCCTATGCAGTCATGAGGCTCCTTAACAGGGTGTTAGCAGATCAAGGTGCAGGAAAAAAGTTGCCAGGGCAGGGGCCATACAAACAGGGGTCACTGCTTTTCCTGCCCAAACACAAGCTCCCTGGAGGAGCCCAACCAGGTGTTCAGCAGAGGCCCACCAGTGGCCTCGCCATCCTGTTATCCACGACTGTGGGGATGGTGGAAAGGGCCCCAGAAAAGATCGCTGGAGCAAGTACCTGGAGCAGGGGACAGGGCATGGCGCCCCCGATAGGCGTGATGAACGAGGTGGGCACAGCCTTGGTGTCTCCGTACCTGAAATCCACCAGTGCATGGGTGGGGCTCACACACTTCTTCACAACCCCTGCAAGGCATGAAGTTTAAAATATAATATGAAGACAAATAATGCCTATTCTCTTAGGCTTACGCCATCTTGTTGGCTAATTTATAACACTTGGCCTGTTTAAATCAGCATGCCCCTTTGATTTCTCCAGGAGGTAACAGTGGATACTGTACGATGCATACGGGGGTTGACCGACTCAAAGTGGTGAAGTGCACAGCTCTGGTCTGGACACCGCTGAGCTGTGAAGCCCAGAGAACATGCAGAAGCTGTTTGTCCGCCATCACCAGCAGCAATCCTGACAAGAATGTCATTCCTAGAAATAAATATCCTCTTCCTGGCTACTTCTTACCATCTGATTTCCTTATTTACTTACTTTAGCCATATTTCCTTCTATACTCCTCACATATAGAAAATCAGAGTTGTTAAATTGTGAAAGTCCAAGAAAGTAGGAATTCCCATCATCAACTTTTCATCTAATATCAGATAAATGAAAAGCTAACTAGGCTGAACACATCCTCTGGCTTCCCTAAAATGCACTACCAAAAAAGGAACAAAGGAAAAAGGTGCAAGAAGTTTCCTTGTCTTTTAGCTGTACTCAAAGGGATGATTATAGTAGGGAAAAAAAATACCCGTTTTAAGGTTCACTTATTCTAGCTCAGATTTATTTTCCTATCATAAAAGGATTATAAATATTAAGGAAGTTTTGACAGGGACACTTCCCCAGGCAGTGAAGCTGCAGTAAGACTCCTACTCTGAGAGAGAAATGTGCGTGTGCCCCCCGGGGTCCCACGACACCAGGGCCTGGCACTGCTGCCCCAGTTCACACACTTACCTTGGCCAAGTCCCATGGCCTTTGATGTGGCAAAGAAATGGCTGGTGTTTTTCATCTTGAGTTCATGTCTCTTGTTTTAAATGGCCAAAGAAATGACAACCTTTTTTTTTTTTTTTTAACACACATACACACAACAAGCGAAACCCATTTCCACTTGGTGTGTGTTTTTTCATTGGATTAAAATGTTGTTTGGTTTTTGAAATAGTCTTTATACATTATTCACACATTTGCTGCCATAAACTGACTTTATCCTTTTAATTAGAAAAACAAACACTGCTTTTTAGAAAGACTTCCTATTAGGGAAGCAATGAAGAACCACTCCTAATTGAGAAGGTCATATCCCACACACTGGCGAGCCCCCACACTCCCTCCCAGGGTTCACAGTGAAGGGCCTGGGCTGCCATGATGGCCACACTGGCCAGTGTGATCCTCCTCAAATTCTTAGCCTCTGGGACTTAGCAGAGTCTACTCATAAACCTGCTAGGCAGGGTTTCAGTTGTTTGCCTAAGTGGAGTAGCTGTGATAGACACTGGATCGCCACAAAGTCTAAACCATTTACTATGTGTCTTTCAAAGAAAAACCCTGCCAACCCTGCTCCACATGATTAGATCTACACTTTTTGGTATCTTACAACAACCTCTTTTTAGTTCCTTCCATTGTTTTCTTCTTTGTACAAGCTCTGCAGAAATGGGCCTTTGCTCACCTGCAGAAATTGGTCCAGTGTCTCCCAGCCCAACGTTAGAACCAGCCTCGTCATGTGGGCAGCCTGGCTGGCTGTGCTCTGGAAGCTGGAGGACCATGAGTGGGCCTGTCGAATTATGGCTCAGCCTCTGCATTTGCTCTTTCTCTATCTAATTAAGGAGCTGCTACCATTTCTAAGTCCCGATTCAAGATCAGCATCTAATTCTGTTTTCCCTTGTGCTGCAGTTCCTCTTTGTCCTCACCCCCAGAGAGGTGAGACTGGGTCTCCTGACTCTGAAATGTCTCCGGAAACCACTTCGGGGGCCTGGGCTTCCTCCCAGTGAAGGCTTGGCGATCCCAGTCACCTTCCTTGGGTACAGGTTGGGCCCCCCACCTCAGCCAGGGGGCTCTCCTGTACTCAGGCTGGAGAAAAAGGAATGTGCCCCTGTTGAGCCCCTCAGCAAAAATGTGGCCCGCTTTCAAGGGTCAGAAGACAGCAGAAATACTCCAAGTAGGTAGGTCAGTTCATTTTGTGAAAGACGCAGGAAGAGTTCTCAATCTTTGCTCCAAACAGGAATTTCTCAGACTGGAGACTGGATCTTTTACCTATGGCTCTAACTTTCTGATAAGCACAGCCCAGCTTAAATTCCATCTCCCGAAAAAGGCTTTCCCTTTGCTTCACCAAAAGCAGCCCTTCCACCTGCCCTACTCCACTGAAAGTCATCTTGCACATCTATTCATCATAGTCTCTTCTCCCTTCAGCCTCAGAGGTTTCCTTTCTAGCCCCCTGGGCTAATTTTTGCCTCTTTGAATTGCTGTTAAGGTTTTTAAACTGCTGTTAGCGTTTTTGAATTGCAAGCACCTCCCTTGACCCCCAGGAGAGGACAGAAGTTGTTTCTGTCTCTCAAGAGAAGCTCTCACATGGGATGAGAGAAAAACTCTTTATAGGCAATTCACACTTTCCAATTTAAAAAATACAGTACATTACCATATTTAATCGACACCACAATCTTACAGGGGTTCTAACTGTTTTAATTTCATTCAGGAGGATAAAGAAACTGAGGCTCAGAGAACTTCAGTGATTCTAGTCACATGGCTAGTAGAGGAAAAAGGCAGACTTCAAATAAATAAAAACTTGGGCTTTTCTGACCCCAAAACATGACACCTGAGAAGGTATTCAGTTCCTCCTCCCCTGCCTCTGCCACCTGCCTTTTTCTTCCCTTGTAACTTGTTTCTGTGGCATAGTGCAGAAATTGTGCAACTCAGACTTTTCATCATCATGGATTTCCTGAAGTCAATGCTTCTTTTCACTGAAGAACAGGAAGGAGGACCCGATTCCCACAAATAATGACTTAAAATAATGTTTTGAAATGTGTCTTCCTCCCTGCCTTTCAGCATCCTAATGACCCAGACTCTTGGCTTGTCACTTCCATTCTGAACAATGCAGTCATTCCTTAACCCAATATTCCACACTGACCCCGGAAGAGAGTCAGCCATACAGAAATCCCTGCCCTGACTGCCGACGATGACAGCAACAACCGGTCTAGCTCTGCTCCTGTGTGGACCTGGCCTGAAGCGAGAGATACTATGACCCAATTACCCCAAAGCCACCTACTACTGAGATACATTTCAAAGCCAGATATTTTTCATTAGAAATGTTTAGAAGGCTCCAGACAAAAGTTATCAAAAAAGGTGTCACCCGCGAATATCATGCTGTGCTCCACAAGTCTCTGTTTGGCCTTCTTTTTCACAAGGGAGAAAACAGTAATGCATAGTAACCAGGTGATCTCAAGTAGTGTCACTAATGAGGCCGATGGACATCATGTGCCTCTGGATGGGATATCTTGAGAGGGACATGACATTATGCCATCACTTAGGTAGCAAGCTGTCCAGGAATGCACACTCTGAGCCTAAGCTAACCGAGGAACATTCTATAAGGTAATTGATCTTACTCTTAAATAACATCAGTATCATGAGAAATGATAGGAAAGGCTAGAGAATAATTCTAGATTAAAGAAGACTAAGGAGACATGTTAACCCAATGTTAACATGATTCTGGACTCGACCTATTCTAGAGACAAAAAATATAAAGCCATAATTGAGACAATTAACAAAATTGAAATATACAGGTAAAAAGTAGTATAATAATGTTAAATTTCCTGGATCTTATAACTTTATTATGATTATGTTAAGAGAATACCCTTGTTCTTGAGAAATATACACTGATGCATTAAGGAGTAAAGGGGCATAATGATGTTACCTAATCTCAAATAGTTCAGAAAAAATAATGTGTATGTGTGGAATTGAGTAGAGAGAAAGAGAATAAAATAAAATTATAAATGTGGTAAAATAAACATGACAAAAGCTAATCATTGGCAAAACTGGGTAAAGTGTATACAAAAGTTCTATTATTCTTGTAACTTTTCTGTAAGTTTGAAATTATTTTTTATAAAAAAATAACTCTATGAGTTGGGTTGTTCCCAATTAAAGATTCACTGACTTCAGGGGGGAAGAGGGAACAGAAATGAAGTACATTCAGGAACACAGACATGATCATTTAATTTGCCTGAGTCAGTATTTACTAACTAGCCACTCATCCAAATTACTGATTATATGACTAAATTCAAATGTGTATTCCCTCCACACAGACTTATTTGAGTTTAATCATAGCCACAAATTAAAAATTCTCAAATAGCCAGATCTGAACTGTTGGTGGCATGCACTCTCTGCCTCTAATTGCATATTTAAAGGGAAAAAAAAAAACAAAACAGGGCAATAATGATTGCTGACATGACCTCAGGAATTGCATGCGGCCATGGTGTCACCTGCTTTCTCGACTTCCCCAGACTGGCAGCAGTAGGTCTTTGGCATTTCTTATCACACGAGAATGGTGTGGAGGAAAAGTTTGAGTTGTTCTACTTTTCTCCAGGACCCTGGCCAGCGAACTGATCCCAAGCCCTAATGCAGCCATTTGGAAGCCAGTCCTTTCCTGCATTTCCATTCAACTGCCGAATTAGCCTCAGACCCCTCTCTGGGGCTCCAATTCAGAAAATCAAGCAGAGGCACACCCCCCCCCCGCCGCCATAATCACCACCCAGCAAATCTGGGTCCCAGAGAAAGGGAAGGTTTTTGGGCCCTACTCTTACAAAGAAGAGTTTTGTGCCTTGGCCTATGAGCTCATCTCAAATGCTCCAATCCACATTTAATTACTCTCATCCAGTCAGCTCCAAAGCACATCTAGTGAATTTCAAAGAAAATGTCCTAGCTCTCAGTTCTCCACATATGCCTGCTGCAACCCAAAACTCCTGCTGAAGTATTTTTCCCCACTTAAAAAGATTCAATGAAATTTAATTAATAAAGAATGATTCTTTTAACTGGTGATTGACAGATAATGCCTATGCAAGACCGGCTGTGTTTCTACAGTATCATCTTTCTGCCCCACGGATCTTCCTCAGGGCTCTCTCCCTAAGCTCTCTTTTCCCTACAGGCCCTTCCCATATCAATGACACTTACGTGTTGATGTCTCAAAAATCTCTATCTCCAGACAGATTTCCTCCTGAGACTCTAGACCCTTATCTCTAATTGCTTTTCTGACAACTTCAGCAATTGGAAGCAATTAGAGATAGGGGTCTAGAGTCACAAGAGGAAACCTGTTTGGAGACAGAGATTTTTGAGATATCAACACCTAATAGTGTACCTACAATTCATCATGCCCCAGACACATCATTATCTTCCTGTGCATACCAACATCTCCTGCACGTATCACTATCTACCATATGGCCCAAGCCAGGGACCTGAGGGACATTCCAACCCACTCTGTATCCACTCTTCACACAACAGGGGAAGAGAGCTTCTGTGAACTTCAAGGGTGATTATGTTTTTGCCTGCTTTCCATGTAGCTCCCCAATAAAGTCCAAACTTCTTAACATGACCTTTTATGAATGGCCCCATACTTCCCTCAATGAAGACCTTTATTATTTTCTACCTTTTCTTTGCCTTCTAGGTTCCAGCCATAATCTATTTTATTTCTCCAGATAGAAGATGTTTGTCTCCACCTCTAGATACATATTATTTTCACTGTCCACAAAGTTCTCACTTGAACTGTACCTGGCTGGTTCCTTCAGGATCACATGTCCCACAAACTTTTGGGAAAAGCTCTTGGGGGTGCCTGGGTGGCTCAGATGGTTAAGCTTCTGCCTTCGGCTCAGGTCATGATCCCAGGGTTCTGGGATCGAGTCCCGCATCAGACTCCCTGCTTAGCGGGGAGCCTGCTTCTCCCTCTGCCTCTCTCTCTCTCATGATTAAATAAATAAAATCTTTAAAAAAAAAAAAAAAAAAAAAAGCTCTCGGGTCCAGCCACACTGGCCTCTTCTACCAACATGCCATATGTACTCCGGCCTCCAGACTCTGTACTACTGTTCCCTCTGCTTAGAACTCTTCCCCCAGGGACGCCTGGGTGGCTCAGTATGTTAAGCATCCAACTCTTGATTTCAGCTCGGGTCATGATCTCGGGGTCCTGGGATTAAGCCCCACAACAAGCCCCATGTTGGGCTCTGTGATCAGCAGGGAGTCTGCTTGAGGAGTCTCTCTCTCCCTCTCGTTCTGCAGCCCCCCGACTCGTGCTCACATTCTCTCTCAAAATAAATGAATCTTTAAAAAAAAAGAAGAAAAAGAAGAACTCTCTTCCCCCAGATAATTTCATGGCTTGCTCCTTCTCCTTTAAGTCTTATTCACACAACGCCTTCCCAAGAAGTTCTTCATTGGCCACCATATTTAAAATTGCAGACTTTACCTTGACACTCTCAATTCCCTTTGTAGCTTTATTTTTCTCTACAACACTGTGTCTGACGCACTACATATTGTATGTATTTGCTTGCTTGTCTGTCTCCCTCACTAGAATGTTAAGTTCCACAAAGACAAGAATTTTCATCTGCTGGTCTACACTAGACCAGCACTTTAGGAGTATTACATTCATAGAAGATAGTAGACATATAGTAAAAATTTTTTACTAAACAAATGGAAGATTAAAATAAATACATTTTCTGCCCATTTCCCCTCATAAACATAGGTAGAAACCCCACCAACAGTTCATTTTAGAAGTGGAATACCTTAATACAGCTCATGAATTGTCAGTGTTCTGGGGAAAGCACAGTATGAGAACCTCGGGTCCCTGATATATTATTTAACATAGGAATCTTACAAAATAAAATATCTACCTGGAAAGTAAAAGCCATTTTCATCACATCTTGCAATAACTTTCTGGCCTTTGAGGGGATCCAATTTTTTTGATTTGGTTTTCTTTGTTGGATTTCCTTGAGGTTTCTGTTGCTAAAAAATATAAAACATTAATAATTGATTTAAAAAATCAACACAGTGAAAATCACAGATACAGTGTAGCTTGGGATTCTCTACTGAGAATCGCACTATCAAAAATTATAGATCATCCATATACTTTGACAATCACTCTGAAATACTTGCTATGTTATTAGGAATAGACTTTTTAAACCAATATATGAACTGATATATGGGAACCAATGACCATAAAAAGTGAGACAGAATTTGCAGTCTAAACCTAATCAAGTTTTGTTAAAACACAAAAAAAAGTGAACCTTTTCCAGAGAATTTAAACAGGATCCAGGGTCTTAAAATATAATACTCAATATATCCAGTATACAATCCAAAATACAACATACTTTTAAAAAGCAAGCAAATATGACCAATTCTCAAGTTAAAAGGCAATCAATAGATCACAATACTGAGATGACCCAGGTGTTGGAATAATCAGATAAAGACTTTAAGTCAACAATTATAAACAAGGTCCATGTGGTTGAATACTTTTGAAATGAATGGTAAAGTACTTGTTTTCAGCAGAGAAATGAAAAAAAAATGAAAATCTTAGAAGTAAAAAACACAGTATCTGGAAGGGCTCAATAACAGAAATGATATGACAGAAGAAAGAAACTTGAAAACAAATTAACAGAAATGATCCAATCTGAAGAACACAGAGGAAAACGATTTTTAAAAATGAGCAAGGTCCTTCCTGTTCAAATAATCTGTCCAAAGCCCAGCTCAGTTATAATCTCCCTGGAAAGATTTTACCCCCAGGCAATTTCAGAAAAAGCAAAGGAAAGGACCACACTGTAATTTCCAAATGGTACCATATGAGTCAAGGCTTGAAGTGAATGTCACGTTGTGTCTACTACATGAAGAAACTGGTAGCATCATTTTGATTTGTAGAGTCTAACTCTAAAATCCTATTTTCTATGCTTGTTGAACTGATCATTAATAGAAAGACCCAATCCCCGCCACCCTCCAGGCCCCCTAAAATCCCAAAGCCTCCATTACATCATCTGGAACAGTCATTATTTTTAATTCCCAATAAATGTGAGGACCAATGCTGGAAGAGGAACCCCAGGAAACCAGAAATTACTGGGAAGATCACTGGATAGAGAAGGAAAGGTCAAGTATTACCCCAATACCAAACCAGAGAACGATACAAGAAAAGGAAAGTACAGACCTATATTCCTCATGAATGTCGATGCAAAAATATGTTTGCAAATAAATCCAGCAACATACAAGAAGGGTTGTACACAACAACCAAGTATCCCAGGAATGCAAAGCTGATTTAACATCCACAAATCAATGTGATATACCATATTACTAGAACAAAGGTTAATTTACTATATTATTTTAAAGCATGGAGAAAGAGCACTTGACAAAATCCAACACCCTTTCATGATAAAGACTCTCAACAAACTAGGAATAGAAGGGAACTTCCTCAACTTGGAAAAGCCTACATCAAATATGATCCTTAATGGTGAAAGACTGAATGACTTCCCCTTAAGATCAGAAACAAGAAAAGGTACTCTGCCACTCCTATACATTGTACTTGAGGTTCCAGCCAGTGCAATCCGGCAAGAAAAAAATAAAGGCACCCAGATTGGAAAGGAATAAATAAAACCGTCTTTATTTATGAATGATATGATCTTCTATGTGGAAAACTCTAAGGAATCCACCCAACAACTACTAGAATTAATTAACAAGTTCAACAGGGTGTCATGATACAAGACAAATATACAAAAAACAAAACAAAACTGTATTTCTATGTACCAGCTATGAACAATCTGAAAATAAAGTTAAGAAAAGAATTCCATTTATAACAGCATCAAAAAGAATAGAATATTTAGGAATAAATTTATCAAAATAAGTGAAAGACCTATACACTGAAAACTATAAAACTCTGCTAAAATAAACTAAGGATCTAATGAGTGACATACCATGTTAATGGATTTGAAACCTTGATATTGTTAATACAGCCATTTTCCCCAAACAGATCTATAGATACAATATAATTCATATCAAAATCTCAATAAGTTTTTTGTTTTGTGGGTTTTTTGTAGAAACTAAGATACTGAAATTAAAAGTGCCAAAACAATGTGGAAAAAGAACAATTTGTAGGATTTATTCTTCTTGATCTCAAAACTTGTTATCCAGAAAGTGCAGTACTGACATAAGGATAGTCATATGATCAATGGAACAGTATTGAGAGTCTAGAAACAAATCTCTACACTTATGGTCAATTGATTTTCAACACTTTGGGAAAAACTTCTGCAATTTCTTTAAAAATTAAACATAAACTTACCATATGTCCCAGAAGTACTACTATTAGATATCTAGCCAAGAGAAAGGAAAACTTATATCACACAGAGACTTTTATGTATTCATATCAGCATTATTCACAATAATGAAAAAGTGGAAATAATCCAAATGTCCATTAACTAGGGAAATAGATAAACTAAATGTCACATAACCATACAATGAAATATTATTCAGCCACTTATATATGAAATGTACAGAAAAGGCAAATTTATAGACAGAAATTAGTAGTTACCTGGGGCTGGGGATGCAAATAGAGATTGACGGCAAATGGGCATGAGGGATCTTTCTGGGGTGATGGAAATGTTCTGAAACTGGATTTTGGTGGTGGTTGACAGCTCTGTCAGTTTTACTAAAAATCACTGAATTGAAGTAGGTAAATTTTACAGTATGAAAATCAGGTCTTTTTTTTCAAATCACTACATTGTGGAAATTAGAGATTTTTCCTTAGATTTTTTTTCATTTTTTAAAAGAACTTCCTGATCATTAACTTATTGTTGAGTTTCTCAATGAAATTCGTCCTCCATCCTAATCAGAGTGCCCCCATGACATCATTCTCCAGCTTCTTTTTTTTTTAAGATTTATTTAATTTTATTTGACACAGAGAGAGAGCACAAGCAGGGGAAGCAGCAGGGAGAGGCAGAGGGAGAAGGAGGCTCTCCACTGAGCAGAAAGCCCAACGTGGGGCTCGATCTCAGGACTCTGGGACCATGACCTGAGCTGAAGGCAGACGCTTAACCGACTGAGTCACCCAGTCACCCCTCCAGCTTCTTCTTTTCACAGACCATCAAATGCCCCTCTCTTCCGTGATACAAAGTGAATATAAAGTGCTTCCACATGCTTTTTGATGTTACTTTTTTGCAATGTTATAGCTGTATCTCAAATAAAGTATTCAATGCATATTTTATGAGTCCATAACAGGCCTTCAGTTAAGGAAGTCTCTAATTTATGAAACAATTGACTGTAAACATTTAAACAACCTCAGATAGTCTGAACACATTTGCTCTAGGGTCATTATTTGTGTTCAGTACAGTTTGGGCTCATTTCCCTGGTGCCCTGATGTTAATGGATTCTGTTGCAGCCATCTATCATTTGGATCTGTTTAGAGATGCTTTTTAGGTTCATCAAAAGATGTGGGAGTATGGTTTATTTCAGGGGAGAGGAAAACAGAACCATGGGCCTCAGAAGTGAAGAAATACTGAACCAAAGGTTTAAGGTCTCTTGAAGGAACTGTGGGATATTAACAAGACTATGCAGCCTTTGATACAAAACGTAAGCTGAATACCACCCTTCTGTTTATGATGCTCCATTTTCAATGGATTTTGCTGGAGTCCATCCTCACGTAATTTCTATTTTTACTGATGCAGTTATTATGTCAAAGAGAATGACCCAACATCACTGGTGGATGGTAACTATTACCTGTTTGTTCCTGGGATTTCAGCTAGAGGAGAAACCTAAATAGTCCCTTCCCACAGGAGCTTCAGAATGACCTACTGCAGTCTGAATTGGCCTCAAGGGGCCAAGACTGGACCATGAGACAGGAGAAATAGAACCAACTGCTGCCCAGCTGGCTGTGTGACTTTGGGTAATCTTTCAACTTTTTGGGCCTCAATTTCTGCATAAGCAAAGAGATGGTACAAACTAAATGACTTTAACATCTTCTAATTCCATATTTCTGTCCAGAAGAATCTAGGCCTTACTAGACCTTTGTCTGCATTACTGGAGAAACTGTTAGACTGTGTGTATACAAAGACAGGGACACTAGCATGGTATTTTTGTTTGCAGTTTTTATAACATAAGGGGATTGCAACAACCAGAACCGTGAATTTGAGTAGCACAATATTCTATCATAATATCATCATAATAGAGATGCCCACACCGCAGTTTCCTACAATCATTTCCTCAGTGGAAGACTCCATGTAAAGTATTTTCATCACTGATAAAATTTAGAATCTGGACATGCCAAGTTAAATCAGCTGTTGCAAAAACCTCACCTCTACATACAGTTTAACTTACAAAGCCACCTTGCTTCACACAGACCAAACAACCATGGAGGTCACCAGACAGCCTCTCCACCTCCAGATGGATAACACCCTGATTTCCAAAAGGATGTCCACGTTGATCCCAGAAAGGCAACCTCCCCTTCAGAGTTCATCAATGTAACAGACAAGCCACTTACTAGAATCTATGCCTAGACATATTTAAAATTCCTTTAAAAATTCTAAATGAGTAGAATCACACCATTTAACTAGCCCCCTTTATCTCTAGGTTCCAAATATTTATTTTCTCAATATCCTAGCCAGAAGCTAACTGATAAAAATTCTTTCTACATTTTCATAGGTACAAATCTGTGAAGTCAAAGGCCCGAAATCATCAGAGAGCTCTTTTTTTCTCTAGAGTTGTCACTCACTTCCCCATTCATCTAATATAGAACCACCATTCACTCTATGAAGACCTTCCCTGCATGGGCAACAACAATGAACAGTAGCAACACAGAGTACCATGATGTTCATTTGTCACACACTGAAAACGCCACCTAAGAAAATGCCTTTCTAAGTGGCTGAAAAGTATCAACTATCTTCAAATCACTCATACACTTATGGGTTCACCTTGATAGGACCATTACAGTACTAAAGAGCTTTGTATATATAACACATTTACTCTGCTTTTGT